TGTGTGTGTGTGTGTGTGTGTGTGTGTGTGTGTGTGTGTGTGTGTGTGTGTGTGTGTGTGTAGGCCTTCAGCAGAAATGATACAGAGAAAGTTTAGCAGTAGTTTCTCAACATCAACCATGGCAATCACTGACATGAAGAAGGTATGAAGCAATGATATGAAAAATCCCTTGGAAGCTTTCCAATAAAATGGTACTATCAGGAAAAAACATCACTAATGAGGTAGGAAGATTTGTCTCTATGTCTGCTACCTGATATATTAAGTCTTTCATTAAAAAAAACACTTAAAATTTTATTTCTTTTTCTTAGATTTTTCTCCTTCAGTTACCAGACCCCCAGAAGTGACTATCATTCCACCATTGGGAAAGACACTGGCAGTAAAGCGTAAGTTGAACAACTATTATTGTATAAGGTTCTACAGTCATATAACTTAGAAGAATAAAAGGAGAGAAGAAGTGGAGTGATTTTTCTCTGAGGACAGGGCCAAATTAAAGATAATCTAAGTTGAAAGATAAAATGATACTCTTCCTAAGTGACAGGGCCAGGGAAAAGGCAAAATGCATATTTGGGATATGCCAAGCAAGGTATTTCCAGTTGAGATAAGGAAGTATCAATGCCTTTATACAAGGGCCTGGTGAGACTATGGGTTTAGTCAAGGTGATTGTACTTGATGACTCACAGTGTCTGATCCCTAGGTTTATAAGAAATAAAGAGATGGTTAAACAAAAAAAATAGGCAGCCTGAATGAACAATAGATGGCCAAAGAAATAAACAATGAAAGGAAAAAGCAAACAGAGAATGGATTGTTTGGGACAATAGATGGTACATGCCAAGAATATGACTAGACAATGAATGAACAAATGAGCGTGGACTGGAATTTTTGGTAGAGCCTTATAGCTTGTTTTTAATCTACAGCTGGCAACCCAGCTCACAATGGCCGTGTATGCAGTACCTGGGGAAACTTCCACTTCAAGACCTTTGATGGAGACATCTTCCAGTTCCCTGGGCTCTGCAACTATATCTTTGCATCTAACTGTAAAGCCAGCTATGAGGACTTCAACATCCAGATCAGACGCTCCATAATAGAAAACACCACCCTCATTAGCCATGTCAGCCTGAAGCTGGATGGAATGGCCATAGAACTGACCAGGAACGCCACAGTGGTTAATGGCAACCCGTAAGTTCACACTTTGTATTATGTGCTCAAATTGGTACTATAGCTATTGTCCCTCACTGTCTGTTAGAAAGGGTACCTATTTCAATCTCATCCCTTTGAGCTGCTCTAAAATGACTTTGGGGTTTTGGGCCTTCTTGGAGCATCAGAATAATCAGGGGGTGTAGCAGCTAGCTTTTTTCCATCTTTATACAGTACCCTCTGACCTGTGCTTTGTGAAGTTTGGCTGCACCTTGGGCCCCAGATTACTGTTCTGATTTATACATACCCATATCTAGAGGCTTGAATTAAAGCCAGAATAAAAAACAGATGAAATAAGATGCCTAAATAAATTGAAGATCAGGAGAAACAGAAGCCCAACATTACAGTCTCAAGAGACAATCGATAAAGAAATCAACAACAGACAGTACGTGCTCTCAGGAAATGAGTTTAAAGGTTTGCTGCCTGAAGGATGCCAGAGGAGTGAACATGGAAAGGGAAACTCTTGCAGAGATTCGGGACGTTTATTAAAGAATGCTTTTCATCCTGCCCATTCACAGCAGTATCTGGAGTTGGTCAGCAAACTCAACACTTACCTCAACTCATCTACTGTTAGAACAGGATACATCAATGCTGCAGTCATTGTACTGATGGCAGCCCAGGAAGACATCTGCTCCCCAATTGCTTTTGGAGATCCAAACTACATTTAAGCTAGCCACCCAGGTTCTTGGAAAGGTTTCTCAGCCCATGCTGAGCTTCTTGCTGCTGCAACTATTCTGCCAGCAGCACCTGAAGTGGTTAATTTAAAGTTAGCTCACACATGTCTACACAAGATGCAGATACTGCTATGCCTGCAATGTAGATGTATCCCTACTTGCAATCCAAAACAAAAGCCATCAGAAATTCTCTTTAGAGAGGCTAATCTTATGTTTTATAAGTCTTTAACTAGTAATAGTAATGCCTTGAAGTGTACTTGTTTGAAAACAGACAGCCATAGTGTTTTTGAATCATGTCATCTAATTAACAGATCAGCATTTTAGGTGCTAAAACATCATTCACAGATTTACTGAAAAGGAATGGAATAAAAATATAATACCGGCCCCACTGCACTTTGTAGAACAAATGCATAGGAAATCATCCACCCCATCACCACGGCTTTCTAAACCTCACACGGCCCATATTTGGCAAGTGCTATTACTAGCAATTTCCTTAGCCAGCTGCATTAAATGTGTCTCAGAAAGAGAGAAAGAATGTCAAATGCTGCACTGTCCATTGAACTTCACTTTGATCTCTCTCCAGGGTACAGCTGCCTTTCAGCCAGTCAGGAATCCTGATGCAGAAAAGTAACCACTACTTTAAAATCACGGACAAGTTGGGCTTGGTCTTCATGTGGAATGAAGAGGATGCTCTCCAGGTAAGATTAAAGTCCAGATGTTGCATGTGCTTGAAAGATTTCATTTAATGTCTTCTTAGCCTATCTGCTTTGGGATGAGCTCTTTTGGGATGTTATCCATCTCCAGTGCATATGCTACCCTACTATGCTCTCCTATTTCTCTTTGCCTCCCAGAGCTCTGCTAATAACCACTATTCTCCCCAAGCTATTAAAAGAGTCTGTTAATGAAGTTCAATATGCTTCAGATACTAGATACACCCCTGCTGTGATGTTCAGTGCTCCTGAGCCCAGGTTCCCCAGACAAGAAAACAGACCAGCATTCCTCTCCTGAAATCATGGGGGTGAGGATAGGGAGCCACGAAAAAATTAGGTCATGGGTCTAGGACTGGTGTCTTTTGGTAACCAAGCTATGTGAAGAATAGATATGCATTAGCTGCCATGCAAATGACATTTATATGCAATACACTCTGTTTTCTTGCATACCACACAGCCTGAAATAATATACACACCTTGTTTTAGGAAGCCAGGTTGAAAACGGGGGGGAAAATGTTTCCAGAGTCTTGGCTGAGTGCTAGCTGCATGGAGGAGGGACAGAGTTCACTCTTCAGTGTCATTTACCATCCCCTTGCTGCTCAGCCAAAAGCTAGTGGTTTAACTTTGTCACAGTCCCTGTGGCATTTCCTCAGACAAAAGCTACTTCCAATGTGACAGTGGCAGTGCCAGGGGTGAACCACCAGATTTTGATTGAGCAGGAAGGGGAGAGTGAATAATGCAGAAGAAAAGACTCTGCTCCTGCTGCACGTGGTCAGAAGGGAACACAGACTCTAGCAGCCATTCCAGCTTCCCCATGCCTCTGTTCTAGTGCAGAAATCAATGTCCTCGCTTAAGACGCTCACCTTAGTGTTGGATAGTTAGCTATGTAGTTAATGTGAAATAGGACTACAGTGATTGATAGTTAAATATTCATTAGAACAGACACTAGAGCTCAGGTACTCCGCCTCCTGGGTAAGTGAATCAAGCACCAGAATGCAGATCTGTATTCTCAATTGCTCTCTGTGTCACTGAATATTTAAGGAGGAACAACTTCAGAAAGGAAAAAACTGAGATACCCTATCCAGAATACCTGATAGATTGAGAGTTGGGCCCTCTCCCAGGAAGTGAGAGAGGGTTAAACACCTGCAAGCAGAGGAAGGTACCGAACCTGAGTCTCCAAGTATTCTGGGTTAAAGCCCTAACCAGTGGGTTATTGTGAAAAAGGAAATACACCCCCACCAATTTTCTGAATCTAGTCCCATTTTTTTCCCAGCTGAAACTATTCAACACATCTGGACTGAATTCACAAACAGCTTGATGATGATCTAAACTGCAATTTTTAGCAAATAAACTAATGAAAAAATTATCTTAGTCTAGCTAAATATCAGAACTTTATATAGTTTCTCAATGAACGTAAGAGACAAGGAGATTAGAAAATATTATATTGGAATTTAGAGCTGGGTATATGCCCTGGATTATAACTATATTTTTAACTCTGTTTTCTTATTCTCTTTAGGTGGAACTGCATGAGAAATATGCTAATCAGACCTGTGGGCTTTGTGGGGACTTCAATGGGATTTCAACCTACAATGAGTTTGTGTCCAACAGTACGTAACAAAAACATCATTAAGCTGTGGTTGTTTATTTTTCTTTCCTTTAATCATATTAATGACATGTAGAATGGGGCACTGATCTGTAAATGGGTTGTGAAACTGCAGAGATGTTTATTTTGGCATGCATTTTTTGATGATGTTAGATTGAATACTTACATAGCACATGTAGAGTATATGAATAGCATCTGAATTGTTCCCCTGAGAGGGCCTCTTTTAAGAGCTGCTAATAGCAACGTTCTGTTGCTTTCCTTATATAGACACTAATCATTAATATGAATTATTCACACTTTTCATCTCCCATTCTATTTGTGGTGGTTGCTACTGATGCTGTGCCAGTGCTTCAAGCGCAGACATCTGTGTTCAAAATTAGAACTGCATTTTTAAAGGCAGCAAAAACACCATTATAATATTTTTCATACCACTTGTTACAGATATCAAGCTGACCCCTTTACAGTTTGGGAATTTGCAGAAGCTGGATGGACCCACAGAGCAATGCGAGGATCCACTACCTTTTAAACCTCTTGCAAACTGCTCAAGTGAATTTGTAAGGATATGCATCCTTCTCATGTATTAAGGGGCTTGTTTGGGAGAAATCTGGGAGGAATAGAAAAATATAACATGGGTGAAAACAAAGAGAATGACATGTCCTTGAAATACAATGTGAAAATATCTAAATTTAAAAAAATAGCTTTTTGGCTTTCATAAACTCCCTTGTTTTAACCACTCTTTCCCCTCCTAGAATTCTATATGCCAAGCAGTACTGACAGGTGAAGCATTTGTAAGCTGTAATGCACTAGTTGACGTTCAAGAGTATATCAGCGCTTGCATACAAGACTTGTGCCACTGTGAAGAACCAATTATTTTCTGTCAAGAAGTACTCTATTTTGGTTTTGTAAGCACTGCACCACAAACTATAGTAAGTGTATTTTAAAATGGTTTGCATTGTAATTTATGCATGTTCT